GGTCTCTGTGCCTATTGTGGCTCCTCCCACCACAGACGCCTGAACTGTCCATTACGTTTAGGAAACGAAGGAACCCACTGAGTATCGGGGTCGCTCAGCCTGGGTCACCTTCAGCCCCCACCTCTTCAAATCGACTCCTTCTTTATGTTACCCTCCTTCATGGTGAGGCCTCACTCCAGATGCACGCGCTGGTGGACTCGGGGGGCGCTGACAATTTTATGGACATGGATCTGGCTAAGCGCCTACGGATCCCCATGACCCCCTTGGAGAGAGTTGTGCCAGTGACCTCGGTGGACGGTAGGCCCCTCCAACCCTATCCGGTCCAAAACCGAACCCAGCCACTCCAGATGATTGTCCAAGGCCACAGAGAGACCATCCAGTTCCTGATCATATGTGCTCCCTCCTCTCCTCTAATCCTGGGATTTCCCTGGCTCCGTCTCCATGACCCCCGGATTTCCTGGTCCCAGGGCCGCCTTTTGGAATGGGGGGCCCAGTGCCAGGCCCACCTCTCTCCTCCTCCATCCATGCCAGACTGCCCGGCCGGTGACCCTGGCCCTACACCGCCCAATCTGCCACTGCCCTACCGGGACCTGGCTGCGGTTTTCGACAAGCTGCGCGCCACCACACTGCCGCCTCACCACCCGTACGACATGGAAATCAAGCTGCAACCAGGAACCAGTCCACCCCGGGGGCGCCTTTTTTCTCTCTCTCCCGCCGAGTCCAGAGCCATGGAGGAATATATTGACCAGGCCCTCCGGCAGGGTTTCATCCGACCCTCTTCGTCCCCAGGTGCCGCAGGCTTCTTCTTTGTGAGGAAAAATGAGGGTGATCTCCGCCCCTGTATAGATTACAGAGGACTGAACAAGATCACAGTCAGAGATCGTCATCCTCTGCCGGTCCTCACGTCCGCCCTGGATGCCATCTCCCAGGCGCGGATTTTCACCAAGCTGGACCTCCGGAGCGCCTACAACCTGGTCCGTATCAAAGCTGGAGATGAGTGGAAGACGGCGTTCATCACCCCTACCGGTCACTGGGAGTACCAGGTCATGCCCTTCGGACTGTGCAATAGCCCCGCCGTTTTCCAACGCTTCATCAATGATGTCCTCCGTGACATGTTGGGACAGTGGGTGTTTGCCTACCTGGATGACATTCTGATCTACTCCAAGTCAGAGGCCGAACACTACCACCATGTTCGCGCTGTCCTGACCAGGCTCCTGGACAACAACCTGTTCTGTAAGCCCGAGAAGTGCTCCTTCCACCAGCGGTCCGTTTCATTCCTGGGCTACCTGATTTCGGATCAAGGTCTAACTATGGACCCTCAGAAAGTCCAGGCGGTGAAGGACTGGCCACTACCAACCAGCCTGAAGCAACTGCAGAGTTTTCTGGGTTTCTGCAACTTTTACCGTCGATTTATCAAAGACTTTAGCACCATTGTGGCGCATCTCACCTCTCTCACCCGACCGACCCCTCCTGGTCATCCGTTCCGGCTCACCCCAGATGCCGTTCGGGCCTTCCACTACCTAGTCGCTCGTTTCACATCGGCTCCTATCCTGCGCCATCCGGATCAGGCAGTCCCTGTTGTGGTCGAGGTCGACGCTTCGGATGTCGGCGCCGACGCCATCCTGTCCCAAGGCGGCCCAGATGACAGGCTACATCCCTGCGCCTACTTCTCCAGGAAGTTTTCCACCACCCAGCAGAAGTACGGCATAGGGGATCGCGAGCTGCTGGCCATAAAATGGGCATTGGAGGAATGGAGGCAGTGGCTTCTGGGCACCACTCAGCCGTTCACCATCTGGACTGACCACCAGAACCTAACCCACATCCGGTCCGCCAAGCAGCTAAATCCTCGCCAGGCTCGCTGGGCCCTCTTCTTCGAACCCTATGAGTTCCATCTCGCCTATCGCCCCGGGACTAAAAACCAGAAGGCGGACGCCCTCTCCCGCCAGTTCACACATTCAGCGCCCACGTCCGAGCTGGCGCCCATCCTCCCGGAGCACCGTTTCGTGGCCCACCTTGGGTGGCCGTTGGAGGAGGCCATCCAAAACGCCCTCCGGGATGACCCAGCGCCGCCAGAGACCCCCGCCAGTCGGCTCTACGTCCCCGCGGCCTGTCGCAGTGAGGCGTTGGCCTGGGCCCACTCATCATGCCTGTCTGGTCACGCGGGCTTCTCTCGGACTCTCAAGTTCTTGAAACGGGCTCTCTGGTGGCCACGTATGGAGAGGGACGTTAAGGAAATCACGAGCGCCTGTGACGTCTGCGCCCGCTCTAAGGCATCCACCCAGGCTCCGGTTGGCACCCTCAGACCTCTTCCGGTGCCCAGCCGCCCCTGGTCCCATGTGGGGCTGGACTTTGTCACAGGTCTCCCGCCGGTCAATGACCTCGACACCATCCTAACGGTCACTGACCGGTTTTCCAAAGCGGTTCACTTCATCGCCCTCCCGGGCCTTCCCTCGGCCCGACGCACTGCAGAACTGTTTCTGGAGAATGTGGTGCGTCTCCACGGGTTCCCGGTCGACGTGGTCTCAGATCGTGGTCCCCAGTTCACGGCCCGTTTCTGGAAAGCCTTTTGCCATCTAGTGGGAGCTTCTGTCAGCCTGTCTTCGGGCTACCACCCACAGACCAACGGTCAATCGGAGCGGGCGAACCAACAGTTGGGCCGGTACCTCCGCTGCTTTGTCTCGGCCCAGCCCTCGCAGTGGCCTAAGTACCTCCTCTGGGCGGAGCTGTCTCACAATCTCCACACCTCCTCGGCCACTCAGATGTCCCCTTTCGAGGTCTGCTATGGCTACCAGCCCCCAGTCTTCGCCCACCAGGAACCCAAAGTCGCGGTGCCAGCCGCTCAATCCCTGGTGAGGCGCTGCAAGAACGCATGGATCAAGGCGCGGGCCTCCATTACCCGGGCCAACGTCCGTTACTCACACCAACACCTCCGCAGGCACCGCCCGGGTCCCTCCTATGCTCCAGGGGACAAGGTCTGGGTGTCCACGGCAGGCCTCCGGGTCCGCGCCGGTTCCAGGAAGCTCGCTCCCCGGTTCCTCGGGCCCTACCCCATGCAGGAGGTCATCAACCCGGTCACGTACCGGCTGCGGCTGCCTACAAGCCTTCGCGTCCATCCTACCTTCCACACCTCCCGGCTCAAGCCTTACGTGGAATCCCCCCTCCTGCCACCTCAGGCTCCAGCACCTCCGCCGGCCCGCTTCCTCGATGGTGAGCCCATCTACACAGTCCGGCGCATTCTGGACGCTCGCCGCCGGGGTCGGGGCTGGCAGTACCTCGTAGATTGGGCGGACTACGGCCCCGAGGAACGCTCCTGGGAGCCGGCCCGCTTCATCTTGGACCCTGCCCTCATCTCGGACTTCTGGGCCCACCGAGGTGGCCCGGGGACTTCTGGAGCCGTCCCTGGACCGGGGGGTCCTGTCAGAGTCCAAGCCCCCAGGCCGGGCTCTCCCAGCTGACCGACTTCCGTCTTGGACCACATTACCCAGCATGCCCCTCGCGGGGATTCCCTCCACGTTTCACCTGCGTCAATCGATGTCTATATATGGAAGACGCTACACCGGCTCTTCACTCAGTCATCGTTCCACCGTGATCCATGATCAGAGTATTTCCAAAGCTACTACAGCTAAACCTCCACCTTTCCTCCTCAGACCTCATCCGTCAGCCTTTCCAGCACCGCTTTCAGCCCACCGTCTGTATAATAAACGCTCTTACTCCCGAACCCAGTCTTCGAGTCTGACACATACAAGTGAGACCACTGGTGAGTAATTCTCACAATCTGCATTTTTGATGGCACATCCTAAATAGCATGACTATATATGTATGTATGTATATATGTATACAGATTTGTCTTTTAAAACTGGTGAATATACAATTTACAGGTAATGCCTTTATGCTATGAGTATTAGAGCCACTGATGGAAAAAAAATATAGAATTCTGAGAAAATAAGTCATAAATCTGAGTTTAATCTCAGAGTTCTGACTGGTACCTAAAACAAAAAAAAGGGAAATTGGGGAAGATTATGAGGGGGGATCAGAATTCTGACTTAAATCTTAACTCATTCACTGCCATTGACGACTAAAGTCGTCATTTTAAATACAACCGTTCACTGCCAATGACGATTTTAGTCGTCAATTACGTTTTTTAACGGGAGGTGGTAGGGAATAAGCTCGCGCACCCTGACAGTAAACACCAATCATCTAAAAATTATCTTCATCTGTGTGTGCGTCAGTGACGTGTCACGTGATCAGGAAGAAGCCGATCCATGAAATAGGAGCTGGTTTTAGGAAGCCACTATGCCTAAGGCGAGACGCAAAGCGGATAATCTTATGCAGCTCACACTTCAACAAAGTCTGTTTCGCGGTAGCAAAACTTTGCATCGTGTTCCTATCAAAAGAAAAGATGACAACCAACCCGGGCCAAGCGGAGACGAAAGTCATACGCTGCAACATGTTTCATCTGAGCCAGAGACAGCGATTTCAGCAGACAGTTCCGACTCGGATCATTTTAGCGAACCTGACCCAGATTCTTCAGATGAATGGTTGCCGTCTGGACCAACCGGGAGCAGCAGAGATTCTTCACCAGACGATAAAAGAAAAAATGAAGAAGGTAACCTAACAGCTAGCTAACAGCTAACGGCTGTGTTATTTGTTTGTTGTGATCGCGTCATTCTTTTCTCCCCGCTTTCCCGTCTCCCCTACTTTCATGAATGTCACAGTCTCCCCCAACACTTGTTTCCAGCTTCTTTCTTTACAGATTTATAATGGAAATGGTTTGATTTTTGATTATTATTTGAAGATATTTTCAATTTACAGATCGTGCACCCAGAAAAGCTCCCCCTGCCACAACTAGTACTGCAAAGAAAAGAGGTTAGAGAGGCAAACAAACAAATAAATAAATATAAAAACAAACAAATAAATAAATAGTGTGTGTGTGTGTGTGTGTGTGTGTGTGTGTGTGTGTGTGTGTGTGTGTGTGTGTGTGTGTGTGTGTGTGTGTGATTATGATTACAGGTCGTGCATCAAGCAGGAGTCGAGGGCAGAATTTGGACTGGGATGAGGCCGGCTGGCAACCCAACAAGATGCCCTTCACTGCAACCCCTGGACCCAAAGATGCTGCTGCAGACCTAGACTGTGATGTGCCAACTAAGTTCCTGGAGCTCTTCCTGACCGATGAGCTGCTTGATCATGTTGTGCATCAAACAAATCTGTATGCAAGTCAGTATTTTCAAGCACACCCTGACCTACCACAACATAGCAGAGGTAATGCTTGGAAGCCAGTGTCAGTCTCAGAACTGAAAACTTTCTTTGGACTAACTTTCCTGACCGGCTATGTCAAAAAACCAAGCACTGAAATGTACTGGAGTGTGGATGAGGTGGATGCCACACCTTATTTCAGCAAAACCATGTCAAGGAACAGGTTTCAGATTATATGGAAGTTTCTGCATTACAATGACAATGCAAATCTGGATGTGAATGACAAAATGTACAAAGTCCGCCCAGTGTTAGATTACATTGTGGAAAAATTCAAGCAGATGTATCAGCCAGACAAAAACATTTGCATTGATGAGGGTATGATGCTGTGGCGAGGGTGCTTATCTTTCAGGGTGTACAACCCACAAAAGCCTGTGAAATATGGAATCAAGTCCTACATATTGTGTGACTCTGCCACAGGTTATTGTTTCAACATGAGGCCTTATTTTGGGGAAGGTAGCAGTTTGCCAGACACCGTATTTTCTCTTCTTGATCGCCTTTCAGGTCATGGCTATACACTGTATATGGATAACTTCTACAATTCTATAGCATTGTGTGAGCGCTTACTGGAAGCACAGACCAATGTCTGTAGAACACTGAGGAAGAATAGGGGGGAGCCTCAGGTCATCAGGGATTTGGTAAAAACCGATCTAGGGATTGGGGACAAAGTTGTGCGGCACAATGACAAAGTCATGGTAGTAGCATGGCAGGACAAACGATTAGTGAAGATGGTGACAACCTGCCACCAAGATGGGATGCAGAAAGTTGATGTGTGGCAGAAGGGGCACAAAGACAAGGTTGCTCAGTTCAAGCCAGAGTGTGTTGTTGCATACAACTCTCACATGAATGGAGTGGATAAGTTGGACCAAAACATTTCCTACTACCCCTTCATCCGCAGGTCGCTGAACTGGTCCAAGAAGTTTGTTGCCTATCTGTTCCAAATGTGCATGTTTAACGCCTATATCCTGTACCAAGCCAGAAACCCAGGGGGATGTAACACACTTTTGAAGTTCATTCGTAGTGTAGTGAAGTCCTGGACCTTGAAGGTACACGAGCGGAAAGGGACTGAGGTGGGGGAACAGGTAGAGGAAGAGGAAGGAGCAGGTGTTGAGGATGGGGACTTGGAGGATGTCAAACATACTCTGAGGGCACCCTATAACACTGACCCAGAGAGCAGGCTAGATGAAGACCTTGGCAGACACAAACTCTGTTACCTGAAACCCACCAGTAAGAAGTTGAGACCAACAAAAAGATGTAGGGTCTGCATACGCAGAGGAACTCGCAGAGAGATGAAAATGATGTGCAAAGTCTGTTGTGTCCCCTTGCACGCAGGACAGTGTTATATAGATTACCACACCACAGTGAGATACTCTGTCTCTGTGCAGGGGTAGAAGCGCGCGCACACACACACACACACACACACACACACACACACACACACACACACACACACACACACACACACACACACACACTCACACACACACTCACACACACACACGGGTATAACTACAACAGCACTTTCTGTAAGATTGCATGCCTGCAAATGAAATTGTTACCTTTGACAAAAATGATTATTTATCGTTATACATTTGTGAATAAACATCTAATTTCTTGTCAAAAACCATTTTATAGTTTGGTTTTACTATTTTTACACAAGGTAACTGCTTTTGGGGTGTCTGAGGTGTAAAAAGCAAAGTATATTAGTGTCAAAGACAGTTTACTGCGTTACATCTCTCTTGACACAAAAAGCCTGTTTTCTCCGTTTTTGGTTCAGAAACAGGCATTTCTGGTGAAACCCACCTGTGTTCTACAGCAAATTGTGAAAGAACGGAAAAGGGTTAAAACGAGCCGTTTTCTCCTGATGAAAGAAGAGAGTTAACTCTTTCATTTGGTAGTTTTGGTGTTTGCATAGTCATGGAGCACAATATTCTGTGACTCTTCAAAAAACTGTAAAAATACTCAAAATCGCTGGCAGTGAGGGGCTTTAGTGATCAGAAAACGGCTGGCAGTGAATGAGTTAAAATTCAGGCCTTTTTTTTGTTTGTTTGTTTTGATTTTTTTTAACAAAAAAAATTCCTAAATAGTTTTTTGTTTTGTTTGGTTTAAGGTTCATGAAAAAAGTCAGAATTCTGACTTTAATCCCAGAATTTTGAAATTATCTGACTTTTTTTTCTCAATTCTTTTCTTTTTCTTCATTGACTCTAATACTCTTAGGCAATAAGGCAGTATTAGGGCCACTGAAGGAAACAATTGAATACTGAGATAAATGTCAGAATTCTGACTTTATTTATTTTCAGAATTTTTTCTTCTTCAGTGGCCCTAATACCCCTCCGTATTATGTAATGTTAAACACTTCAAATTAACTTTTGAATTCAGCAGTTTATCATTGGATTTAGATGCAGATATCACTGTCTTGGAAAATTGGTCAGAGCAATTTGGCATTAAGTTTAATTAGTAAACTTGACAGTATTTACACTCTTAATCTTCTTAGGAATTACATGATGTCCACACAAGGCGTACCACTGTTCTCCATGCCCTTCCAGTCCATCTACGTGAGGAAATCTCTGGATTTTTGAGGACATGTGTGGTAAGTCCCAGTATTGTAAATTTGAACAAATCATTCTATTTATTTATGCATAAAGACAACACAAGGACAACGCACATGAACATTTTGGAAAATGTGCCATTGTTTCAACTACAACCCTTTGGCAAGATGTTTAAGCCTGCCACACACGAGAGCAATCAGCTGAGCAAACGGCCTCGAATGACTGTTTGCTCAGCAGATTGCTCGCCATGTGCGCCTGATTTTCACTGAGTTTTCTGCCTCACGAGACGCTGAGGTGAATATCTGACCAGTTAGATATTTTCCGCCTCACAGGGGTAAAAACTCGCTGTGTGCGCACTACTGAGCTGCTGGCTGAGCTGAAATATTCTAGTGGCATATCAAAGCACTTTCTCTGCTCACATGACCCCAAGATGTATTCAGATGCAGCCCCTTACCTTGTCTGCGTGTCTGAAAAATAAACAAAACGGTACCTTGTGGGTCGATGGGCCCACTGTTTCCATTACCCTTTCGGAAGGATTCTGGGTCTTCCAGGTGCGTCTCTTGGAGTAAATTGGCATAAACTCCTTGCCTGGTCCATCTTTCCAGCTACTGTACCCATATTTTCCTAACCTTCAAATGCCGGTGGCGGCGACGTTTCATCAACAAAAAAGGATAGGCATTTCCTCCGTTTCCAGCTCTGTCTCTGTGTTGTTTCTTTTCTGACATGCAGACAGGGGGCTGCCATCTTGGGGTCATGTGAGCGGCGAACGTGCTTTGGTTGGCCACTAGAATATTTCAGCTCAACCAGCAGCTCGGTAATGCGCACACGGCAAGTTTTTACCCCTGTGAGGCGGAAAATATCTTAACTGGTCAGATATTCACCTCAGCGAGGCGGAAAACACTGTGAAAATCAGGCGCACATGGCGAGGTATCTGCTGAGCAAGCGGTCATTCGAGGCCGTTTGCTCAGCAGATGGCCCTCATGTGTGGCAGGCTTTAAGGCACTGAGAAAAATCAGCAATCACTGCAAAGAATTCAAGCAGCTTTCATTAGCATAACACTGGCACACACTGAAGCCATCTCACTTTATTCGTAAATGAGAGCACAAAGCAACAGAATGAACGGGACTAGGGCTGGGCGATATGGCCTAAAATCAATATCACGATATGTTGAAGATCTCACCTCGATAACGATAAGTAGGCGATAACTACAGGAACGCGTAGCAACAATATTTGTCCACTAGATGGGGCTGTCTCGTGTATTACATTGACTAAAATTTTACATGACTCAAGGTGCTACAGCTTCTTAAAAGGACATAAATGTGGCCTACTTACACATCTTTTCATTTTTTTATTATCAAATTTATTGACATGGGAAAAATTATCTGCATGAGAGACAAGAACTTGGATAACGATAAATCTTTGACATGTTGCCCAGCCCTAAACAGGAGCCTATCAGACTGCATTTATTGTTATTTACATGACAATCTACTGAAATAAAAATGGCCACAGTCAGAGTTTCAGTTCAAATGTGATTAGTGTATGATCTCCCTTTCATTTTTGTAAGGATGATGATACCAATGAGCCGGACCTCAGGGATGCAGCAGTTGTCCTCCTGACAACCATCACCGATGATGCCGAGAGTCCAGTTACGTACGACCCAGTGAGAATCTGTTATCCTAGAGGGTGATGTGATTGTCAACCTCTCCAGCCTTCCTGGTAATGTTCAGCCTCATCTATGCCTTACATCTAGATTATCCGAAGGGACTGACCAACACATTTGAGTTCACGCAGAAAATCTTACTTGGTCTTGATGAGTCTAAACTATCACCCAAGCTGCAGAGTCAAAAATGACCTGATGTTACATGTGCAACTCAAAATCTTAAAGAGTGGTGGATTCAGATGGCTCACTCTGTTAGAGCATTGTCCACATCCACAATGTAATTTACTATTTGTCTGCTCTTTAATTGTTGATGTTAAAGTAACACACCACCATTTGGGCAAATATGTTCATTTTCCCCTTCTCCTTGAGTTAACCCTCCCACTGTCCTAATGGGTGTGACCCCGCGAGGAAAGTTGACCATTGAGCAGGGTTGATGGTTCATCCCTTGGGTCCACGTGGCAGGGGTGAGGAGTGAGCACCACCTCCCCCCTGCCACGTGGACCTCAAGGGATAAACCATCAACCCTGCTCAATGGTCAACTTTCCTCGCGGGGTCACACCCATTAGGACAGTGGGAGGAACAGTTGAGTTTTACCTTTTCTCTGTTCGTCCAGCCGTTCTGAGTCTGGCAACTCTCATTTGTGGCTTTAGTTTAGCGTAAATAATTGAATCGGATTAGCCCATAGGCTAATCCGATTCAATACTCAACTAGTTTTATGCCAAATGGCATAAAGTACTCACTGACTTACTTGATAGTGGTTAGTGTAATTCATATTTTGTTAATGTTGAATTGATGTGCATCCTGATGTTGCTTTAAACCACCTACTCAAAGAAAGACTACACACTGCTGTTGTCCAGTTTTCAAAAGTGTGCGTTTGTAATTGTTTCTTTCAAATTTTGTTTTATTTTCTGTTTGAGTTGGCTTAATCGGTAACTTTAATTTGATCATAATTTGAAAATATATTTAATATAAACTCCAAATATTTAAGTTTATTTATGGTCTGATATACTCAAATATCTGATATACTCAGAAAATATGAGGCAACTGATTGCCTTACATTTTTTGAGTTCTGCCTACCTATTCGGGTTTACAGTGTACGAACTGTAAAGATTTTGTGGTGTCAGAGTTCACCTAACAGTTCAAGTGTTCATTTTTTTGCTTTGTGTGTTCACAGGGCATGCTCAGTTGAAGTTTCCATCTCTGCGCGTTCAAGATGTAAGAAAAATAACACGAAAGAAATGCAACAATGAAAACTTCAAAAAGGCATCAACAACCAAGCAAGTGGATCCATAAAATGGACTGATTTTTTTAAAGGCATTTTTAAAAAGTCTTTCAAAATGGACAGAACTAACGCGTCATGTTCAGAACAGTTTGCGTTCTCATCTTTGATTAATCCTGGTAAACAGGTCTGTTTTTGTTCTGTTCTAATTCTCTCTGTTTAATAAATTTAAACAAAATGACTTAGCTATTTTATTTAATTTTTTTTCTCTGCATAAAGATGAAGTATCAGTAAATAGTGGAAAGTAAATGTATTGGTAGTAAGCAAATAGCAGATGTTAAATGTTACTTGCAGTATGTGTTTATAGAAAAAATAGAGATACTTAAATGTACTAAAAGAATATTACGTCAAGTTTACTGTAAAGTGTACTTTCAAAACTGTAAGTATACTCAATTATATAAGAAGTACACTACAAGTAAACATATATTATTACTTTAAGTATAATTTTAAGTATACATTCAAAGAGAAAAGTATACTCAATTATTTCAGAAGTACACTACAAGTAAACTTATAATGCTACTTAAAGTTTATTTTTAAGTATACTTTCAAGGGCAAAAGTTTACTCAATTTTATTAGAAGTAAACTTATACTGTTACTTTTAAGTATACTTTCAATGAGAAAAGTATATTCAACTATATCAGGAGTACACTACAAGTAAACTTATATTGTTACTTTTAAGTATACTTCCAAGGAGAAAAGTATACTCAATTATATCAGAAGTACACTACAAGTAAACTTATAAGCATACTTCCAAGGAGAAAAGTATACTCAATTATATCAGAAGTACACTACAAGTAAACTTATAAGCATACTTCCAAGGAGAAAAGTATACTCAATTATATCAGAAGTACACTACAAGTAAACTTATAAGTATACTTCCAAGGAGAAAAGTATACTCAATTATATCAGAAGTACACTACAAGTAAACTTATAAGCATACTTCCAAGGAGAAAAGTATACTCAATTATATCAGAAGTACACTACAAGTAAACTTATAAGTATACTTCCAAGGAGAAAAGTATACTCAACTATATCAGGAGTACACTACAAGTAAACTTATATTGTTACTTTTAAGTATACTTCCAAGGAGAAAAGTATACTCAATTATATCAGAAGTACACTACAAGTAAACTTATAAGCATACTTCCAAGGAGAAAAGTATACTCAATTATATCAGAAGTACACTACAAGTAAACTTATAAGTATACTTTCAAGGAGAAAAGTATACTCAATTATATCTGAAGTACACTCCAAGTACACTTGTGAGGTTAATTTAAGTATACTTTCAAAGAGAAAAGTATACTCAATTATATCAGAAGTACACTACAAATAAACTTAAATTATTACTTTGAAGTATACTTGTAGTATACTTCAAGTATACTTTTAGTGGCCCAATTTAGTCCCAAGGAGTATACTTCTAAGTAAACTTTAAGAACAAGTATGCAAATAAACTTCTGTACACTTAAGTATACTTGAAATTAGATACTTAAAGTATACTTCTTTTTCGTAAGGGTTGGACCTTTGGAGATCCTTATTTTGGTCCAGAACCCAGTAATCTTTGCCCAGTGTGACATCCCAGGTTATTTGTACTTTTGTTTTAATTTCCCACAGGCAGAATTAGTTTTATTATTCCCAACCTGTGGATGGAAAGATTTAGGTTTTTTTTTTTTTGTAAATAAACTTGATCATCATTTTAACTTTTAAATCCCTTTATTGTCCCTTCCTTTTAGCACATGAGCCAAACTCCCCAGGAAGGATCGTAACACCACTCGCCTCACGCACATAAGTGACCAAAACAAAGCAGCATGGAGACACTCCGTCTCCAACCACCTCTCAGGCAGCAGCCTGCACTCCCAAATTCTACACGTCACCAGAACATAACCAACCACAACAAAATAAAAGCAGTGTTATACAAAATGGAAGGCCTGTAGTGTTCTCTTACAGTAACAATTTATCAATTTTTGGAGGAATTTATTTGAGATTTTTTGGTTTTCATTAATTGTGCAATAGAAAAATAATCGCTAGATTAATCATCTAAATAGTCATTAGAATAGTCTATTCGATGAAATAATCGTCAGAATAATCGTTTTA